TTTTGGATTATCAAAGTATCTACTACAAAGAATGGAAGATTTTTTTTGCATAGAAGGTGGAAAATTGGATGATCTAAGAATATCATTAAACATAGAAAGACTTGAAAAAATAAAAAACCATAAGTAAAGGAGCTTGTGGAGAAGTTTATAAATTAAAATGGATGAGACTTTTATGTGCAACTAAAAAGTTGGATGTTGAATTTAATAAAATGTTTATTAAAGAAGTGAGCATTTTAGTAAGTTTAAGCCATCCCAACTTCATAACATATTATTTTGCAATAAAAGGTAGTGCTAATGGAAGTGTTGAATCTTTTTTATCAAAAGACAAAAAAAAATGTATATATATTTTAGAATGGAATTAATGCAAAATAATTTAAGTAATATATTGGAAGAAGTATCTTATATTTTTTTTATTGATATTATCCATCAAATTGCAAAAAGAATATATTACTTGCATGACATGTACATTGTACATGGTGATCTAAAGCTTAAGAATATTTTGGTTAATATTATAGAATCAGAGATTATAAATAAGATTTTTTAATATGCTATTGTGAAAGTAATTGACTTAAGAATGTCCAAGATTGAAGTTAAAAGAAATCCTAAAGCCACAAAGAATAATTACATTTATGGTAGTATTAGATATATGGCTCTAGAGATATTAAAAAATAGATTTCAAACAATGGAAATAAGTCCTTTTGAAGTTGATGTTTATTCATTTGCAATGATATATTTTAAAACTCTTTCAAAAAAAAGATCTATTTTATGATGTTTCAAAGATGAAAGAGATATTAGAAAGAATTGAAAAATATGAAAGTACAAACTTACCTTCAAATTGTAATGACTTGATTGAGCTTATCTAAGAATATTGGAGGTTGAATCCTTTGCATCAGCCAAAGTTTATAAATATTTGTGAAAGATTGAACTTTTAATATAAAAAATTATAGTAAGAATTGCTGTGACAAATTCACCATATTTTGGAGCAACAAAAAATAATTGTCATAAAAACATAGAATTTCAGCTTACATATAATAGATTTCCATTGATAAGACTTATACTAAAAACTATACAAAGTATGTATGAAACTAATTGCATTTTACACTTGTACATATTCTTCTATTCTACATTATTTTTTAGATGCTTTATTGTAAGCTCAACTTACTAAGACAAGGTTAAAACATAGTACATACATTTTTTTAATTTCTTTATTGATTTATGGATAAATTTTGTAATTGTAAAATGATTTACCTAAAGAAGAAATATTTGATAGAGCAAAACATATATCACAAATAAGACAACAATTTTCAAATAAAATGAAGGCATTGTATCTTGTTGGAATGGAAGGAATAGACAAGACTACCATATCAAAGGCTATATTTAATGATGTAAAAGATATATATAATGCCTTGTGCTTTGTAGAATGTATTGACAGTGATGATTATTGATATACAATTTCTTGCAATATTTTACAAAAAATTAAAGGCAAATCAATACCAAAGGATGTAAAAGAAGCTCAAGAAATATTAAAATCATTCTTGATAGAGAACAAATCCATATCAGTTTTTGTCAATGTAAAGAATTAAAGTCAAATTGAAGATGTTGTATCTATGAATGACATATATACTAGAAATGGTAGCACATTGATTGCAACTTGAGATTCAATAGTAATAAAGCATTGTAATAAAATAATTTATAAAATTAATATTGAAGAACTTAATGAAGATAGAAGTATGAAGTTGTTTATTACTCCTTCTTGTGGCCAAAAACATTTGTTTAATGAACATATTAAGGTTGAAAAATAAATTGTATGAGCTTGCAATGGCATACAATTGAGTCTAAAATTTATAAGAGCACTCTTAAGAAAGAACAAGAAATTGAGATGTTGAGAGCGAACTTTACAAAAGTCAAAAATATGAAGGCAATTAAATTGAAATGAAAAAAATAGTAACTACAAGATTTAAAAGATATTATAAGTTAAATTTTTATAATTTAAAAGTTGAAGAGAATTTTTTTTGGATATATGTTCTTTTTTTTGTAGTAATATATATCCATAAGATATATTTAAAAAAGAACATTATAAATATGGATTGATAGTCAAAAAAATATATTTGAATAAGATGTAGATTTTATGTTAGATACATTTATTTATGAGTGATTGATAAAAGTAGAAAAAGATGGAATTATAAGAGTACATGATCAGCTAAAAGACATGGGTAGAAACATTATTAATAAAGAAATGGAATATTAATACATACAAATGTGAAATTTGAATGTAGATCCATTTCATAGATTATCAAATAAGGTAATTTTACTTAAATACTATCCAATTAGCATGTAAAAAACTCATATTACCTAAAAAAAATAATCATTTAAAGGTTAGAATTTTAATTTATATATTGTATAATTTTTTTAAATTTTATTTAGATGTATGTTGAAATAAAGTTTTAATGTAAAAAAACTAATCTTGTATTGTAATTAGATTTGAATGAATATGAAATATATCATTAATATAGAAATTCTAATCTTTTATATATTAATTGTGTAGGTTTATAGTTAGAGAGATTATTTTACAACAAAATGGACAATAATATTAGAAAAATAAGTATTGTTTCTTTTTCATTTCTTTAATTTTTAAGTTATAATTTTGATGTTATTGCACCTAAATATATAATAAGGATACATGAAAAAGATATTTGAAAAAATTTTAAAAATTTAAATTTCTTGTAATTAAAAATAAATAAATAAAAAAAAAGTTATAGAAAAATTATAGAAAAATTTCCAAATTTATTCTTTGAAATTGCTACATTATTAGAACTTGACTCATAATTATGCTTAATTTTAATTATGCTATTAAATAAATTATACTATATGACTTCTTTAAAAATATTAAATTTAAAAGATTTTGTTAAATTGAGATTATTACTAATATCAATAGGCAATCTTTTCTCTTTGAAAACCTGAATATAAAAGAATGTTCAAGCTTGAAAACATTACAAAATGAATTAGGCTACCTCACATCTTTGACTACCTTTAATACAAGTAAGTGCCCAAGCTTGACATCATTGCTAAATGAATTGAGGAAGCTCATATCTTTGACTTCTTTAAACATAGAGTGGTACTTAAGCTTGACAATATTGCCAAATAAATTGAACAACTTCATATCTTTGACTACCTTAAATATAGAGTAGTGTTCAAGCTTGACATCATTGCTAAATAAATTAGGCAACCTCATATCTTTAACTTCCTTAAATATGGAGTGGTGCTCAAACTTAACATCATTGCCAAATGAATTAGACAACCTCATATTTTTTACTGTTTTTAATTTAAGTAGGTGCTCAATCTTGGCATCATTTCCAAATGAATTGGATAACTTCACATCTTTTACTACCTTTAATATAAGTGCTTAAGCTTTACAACATTGCCAAATAAATTAGGCAATTCCACATCTTTGATTATCTTTATTATAAGTGGTTATTTAAGCTTGAAGACATTACAAAATAAATTAAACAACTTTACAACTTTAACTACTTTTGATATAAATAAGTACTTAAGCTTGATATGATTGCCAAATGAATTGGACAACTTCACATCTTTGATAATATTTGATATAAGTCAATGCTTAAGGTTGACATCATTGCTAAATGAATTAGATAACTTCACATCTTTGACTACCTTTGATATAAGTGAATGCTCAAATTTCACATTATTGTTAAATAAAAGATGCATAAGCACTTGTTACATTGATGGTATGAGGTCATTGCACTAAGCATGATAATGACAATCTTTTTGAAGTAGAAGGTATAAAACTTTAGATTTATCATAAAGCTTTAAGTTTGTTAATGTACTTATAAATGATACAAGGTATGACATTGCATTTGTTTGTCAATACCTTGGTTAATACATGGTACATCCATATGTTTTGCATTGGCAAGGAATCAAGTGAATATTATTTTACTTGCAAAGAACAAAAGAATTAGTATTGTAATATAGATGCAAATAAGCAAATTTGCAACTTGTGAGGTGTAATGATGCACATGAAGTGGATTGTGAAGAGATGCACCATTCGATAGGCCATTATGAATTTATATTAGATGGCACAAGTATAACTTGGTTAAGTAAGAAGCAATTATTAATTTATGTTTTGTCAACAAATATAGAGTATACAGCTTTGGCTGCTACACCGAGGGAGATTATGGCTTTATAAAGTATTCAAGGGTTATGACATTTTCAAATTGAAGAAGATTATCATTTATGAAAATATCCGGAATACCATTGGTATTGCCAAGAATCAAATATATCCATGGTTGTACAAAATATTAGGATACAAAATACCATTTCATTTGACAATGTGTAGAAAAAGGACAAATTAGATTAGAAGATTGTCCAATAGAGTAGATGGCAACAAACATCTTTATAAAATCTCTTTTTAGATATATTAAGTCTTGTTTTAGTAAATAACCAAGTCTCACTTCCAAAAGAAGAATGTCAAATGATACCATAATATTTGTACTCCAATCTAGTACTTGTCTAGCATATAAGAAGTTCTACTAAGCAAGCGCCACACACTTGTTCCAACAGATTCATGCTTACAAGACGAACAGTCCAACTTTGGAGTTCAAAGGAAAATGAATCCATCACCAGTAGGTCGTTAGGCAGGTAACCCTCATCCACTGCTGCTCTTAATGCCCCGACTGATGCACACTGAGACAATCCAAGAACATATTTTGTTACACTATGCTGCTATTTTCTGATGTTTTGTTACAACCGCCTTTTGTATAATTACATACTAAATGGATCCATAAAGTGGCCTGGACATGGATTCGATGCACTCAAAGCTTGCGATTTTTTGCAGCTTATGATGGCAGGTGAAACTTGTGCAGGGATTGTATTGCTGCAATGAAGGGGAAAGAGATACACGAGCTTGAAAATGCGTCTCAGGGCTTATTGCAGCTCCATTCCCAACTTGCAGTCTTTAATAAATACAAATTCTATGACCTAGACTTATTCTCACGTTAGCAGATGATCGGATGTTCTAGCTGTTGGCATGTAATGATACTCAACGTAAGATCAGAAGGGTACGACTCACCAGCACCACCAAGTTCATCTGCAAGCTTCTCCAGCATTTCAAAGCTCTCCTTGCTTTTCAGGCCTCTCCCTCCAGAGACAACAACTCTAGCACTTCCCAGTTCAGGTCGTTCAGATTCCTGAACTTGCTGTCCAAGCCACTCCGATCGCTCAATAATCTCTGAAACACATTGACAAACTCAACCCGCATCTACCTGAGACTACTTGCACATCTCCGAACGATACAATACTTCTTTGGAAGGCGACGACCAAACTAGTCACCAGCTACACGATTAGATTGCAACTGAATTGGGCAAACTTGGAAAGGTACGCAATGCAAACGCTTTTGAAAACATAGAAACTCAAATCCTTTACTCTGATCTAGATTGCAAATATTGTCCACCCTTGTTGATTCACCAACACTGTACCATGACAGCTACTCTATGAGGGAGACAGCAGCAGGCCTTATACCTCAACTCATACTTCATTGTTGGTTGCACATCACGCAACATCCGAGAAAATATAAAACGAAGTCACCAGTCTCACCTGCATTTAAACCTGATGTGTCTAAAGCTGATATGGGGGCCTCTGCTTCACGTGGCAATGCACTTGACACAGCAAACGACGTTGGTCGAATCGAAAAAATGCAGGGTCCAGACCCTACATATCGTACAGCAGGCAATGCATTTCCTGCGTATATAGATCTGAATAGGATACAGAAGTTAGATTGACAAGTTAAGAAAGTGTCCTCACTCAAGATACCTGTAATCCTTACACCACGCAATTATTACTAGGTTGAAGAACTCTGTGGATGATCCACCAAAGTACGAAATAAGCATCATGACTCCTGATCATAAGAGGGCTCATGCATAAGGTTCATGAAAAAAATACACCTCACAAAGGTCTGCTCATCAATACTACTCGTCCAGTACCGGAGTTGTATTGTGTACTTAGATCGGAGCTTGGAAGCAATTGTGGTTGCCTTCGCAGCTTGTAGCAATGAAAATGGAATCATCTAAGGAACTTGAACAAGTTGTTTAATGATTGTGTACCTAGGTGATGGATGGGTGGGCCTTTGATGCTTGAGAAGCAGCTTGCTGAAGAGTAAATCTAGTACCACCGAGAAGGACTGATATTGTGCTGCTCTCTCCCAATCGTCGTGCCGCTGCAATTGAGCTCAGAGACGAGTCTATCAATTCGAGACTTTCATGCTAAGTCACCTCATAAGTGCTGTCCTATACATGGCGCATGCAAAAGCAAACCAAACTCTCATTCTTCAAGTACAATACCGACCATTGGAAAAAGAGAAAACCTTAGGAAAACGGCTGCCACAAAAACCAAGGCTAACCTGGGTATTCTCACTCACCCTTGGCCGATGCATAAATTCGTGATTAGACCCCTTGACATGACCCTACAAGATAATCTGAGGGCAAATTACAAGATGGCACTATAAAACGCGTGGTCCATCACATGGTTAACTACATCACGGTGAACAATAATATCTCCAGATAATGAAAAGAAGCAGGAGCGAGGTTGTGAGTGAATCAATAAGTAGAACACTTATATACAAATCTGGAGTGTTATTCGCAAGGCAGTAACCTTGACTTGTGAAATGGACTTGCTCTTCTTTTTCTTTCTTTTTTTTCTTTTTTTTCTTTTTCTTTCTTTTTTTTCTCATCCGACACCCAATGAGGAATCTATGCTGAATTGTGCAGGTTCTTAGAAGAATATGGTTAGTAACCCTTTAAATGTGGATTTCTATAGGGTAAAAAATGTTCTTTGTTTTGCATAAAATTAAACATAATTGTGTGATGTGCATTATTAAAATCAAAATTTTATTTTGTTCTTCAAAAATGATCACAAATAGAATATTTATCTACTTATGTACTTAAAAGTTATTTTGAAACCAAAAGTTTAAATTATCATACTTTCTCACCATCTTGTGAGGTGGTTTGCATTATGATTGACAAAAATTTATATATCAAAAAATGTATTTTCCTCAATTTTGATAGTCTATTTTATTATTAAAAAAATATAGAAAAATAACATACAAATGTGTATATTTTAAATTATTTAAATAATATATTATTAATAATTAAATTTTAGTTTATTTCTACAAAACTTGTCATGTAAGCATCTTATCAATGTATTTATTCATTTGTATTCAATTTTATTTATATATGTATATTATGTTCAAACTATAGTACTAATTTTAATAATACAAAAATTTGGTGAATGTATCTTTAACTCAATAATAATGATAGAACATATTAAAAATTAGAAGACTTCATACATCATAGTCAATTTTGAGTTACTTATTTTTAATTTTATATGCAATTTGTTTTAAATGTGTCATATTACCATAATAATTTTTTTATAAGGTTTCTTTTAAGCTAATGATTTTTTTTATATATAACAATCATTGTTAAAAAATAATGATATATTATTTTTATACACAAAGAAATAAATACAAAACAGATATTTTTTTACCAAGATTTGAAATGACATACACATATAATTACAATTATGCCAAACTGAACAATAGGGCCAGTAAAACTATCAAATACAATCCAAAAAATACCATCCATTCTTACTAAATAAAACATATACTATGCTACAAGAGAAAACTACCCTTTGCTTCTTCTTGCCAAAATGAAATCCTGGGTAATGAGCCTATTAGTGATGCACTTCTTGATGCGCAATTATTTGTCGTCAAAGTGATTATAACCGACTATAGTGAATTGATTCAATATCTGACATTTCAGACATTCCAACCTACATATAGTGAGAAACTCAAGAAACGATTGATTTTAAAAAGTACACCATATACGATGATGGGAGATGCCTTATATAAGCAAGGCCAGGATGGAATTCTACGCCGTTGCATCTTTTCCAGTGAAGTACAATTGATACTAGAGGGATGTCATTTGGATAGTTGTGGTGGATATTATGCGGGAGACAGTACTGCTCGCAAGGCTTTAATGGCCAGATATTGGTCGCCCATAATGTTTTCTGATATGTACCAATTTGTTCGTCATTGTGATCCCTATCAATGAATTGGTCGACCCACTAGTACTTCTACGATGCCGTTAGTACCAATCTTGGCACAGGCACCATTTGAGAAATAGGGAATTATTTTTGTTGGATCCATTGCACTAGCATTAAGACATGGACAAAAGCGATATATTTTAGTCGCCTTCGACTTTGTAACCAAATAGGCGGAGGCTATTGCTACCTACAATGATAATGCCAGTACGATGGACACTTTTTTATATAAAAATATTATTACTCGATTTGGGTGTCCAAAAGAATTGGTTAGCAATCGCGGTACCCATTTCATAAATACTACCATAGCAGCCTTGACGAACACATACGAAATCAAGCATAGGAAAACAACACCATATCATCCTCGGGCCAATGGGCAGACGGAAAAGACCAATGATATTCTATGTAAGATTTTAACCAAAATAAATTTGGGCGCGAGAACGGATTGGGATACTAAATTATTTGCGACATTGTGGGCATATTGTACTGCATATAAAGTGACTACCAATTCCACACCATTTCAATTGGAGTACGGGCAAGAAGCAATATTACCAATTGAATTGGAAGTTCAGAGTTTGTGCATTGCATTGGATGAACGTCTTGGAGATAAGGAATCACTTCAATATCGGTTGGCAGAGTTAGAAAAATTGGATGAAATACGTCTACAACTCTCTTCCAGATAGAAGCAACTCAAAAACAGCAAAAAAGTTATTATAATAGTAAACTGCGTCTGAAGAATTTTATGCATCGGAAACAGATCTGATTCGTTTGGTGGTGGAGGAGGAGAATGAAGTCCTGACGTTGTTAGATATCAATCAGTTAGCGTTTCCACAAGGTCGACTACCAGAAGATGTACATCTTAAAAATGCTTTATTGAAGTGCATTTCCCAAATACATTACATGGTACGAGCATTGGATGTAGAGGGCAGTGGTAAACAGGAATTAGAGGCAAGCAAAAAGGTGATATTAGAGCAGACCCAAAGAATTGAAGAGTAAGAACGGATCATCCAGGCGAATGCGGAATCTAAGCTACTATTGGAGTAAAAAATTGGGAAACAACAGGAAGCTTAGGACAAAGAAAGAGAACGCATGGTGGAGACCCACAGGTAAGAACTATTTCGGGCTCGCAATTATTCAATTTTGGAACTGAAAAAAGCGAAGGGTCAGTTGGTAATAGAACGAAAAAAAGTCGAGTTATTGGCGTAAAAAAAATTGGTATTGAGTGACCAATACAGATGTGAAACGGAGCGATTAAGGGTTGAAATTGAGGCCTTGAACGTCGAGGTGACAAGATTGGCAGAGAATTTAGTCAATATTGGTCAAGCACAAGTATCGACATTGCCAATTCTTGAAGTTCTAGAAGAGAGGAGTCACTTTCAGCGCTAGTTGGAATTGAGAGATGCCTAGATCTTGAAATTGGAAGATCAAGTCCGTGAACAGGGCAAGTACAATGAAGACCTTTCAGCTCAATTGAAGCAAGAGCCGATGATAGGATTGGAGAAGGATGAAGATTTGTAGTTAGAACCAGAATCGGTGGAACCAATAACAGATACTGTGGCAATTGATTAATTAGATAGGCTAAAGGGATCGCAATTTTTGTAGAGTTTTGTTAAATAATTTTTAGATAGGTATCAATTGAGTGTTTGCAAGGATGCTGCACAGATAGGAGTGGGACTATGTAGAATAGATATTAATTCATTTTTGAAAGATATTGGTAAAATATATTAATAGTCTATATATTAGAAAATTCAGGAGGACGGATGAGTGATTTAGTTATTAAAAGTGATTAATTATAGAATTACGGTTAGAATCTGGAGAATCAGGGAAAAGTATATAGGAGTTGTAGAAGTTAATTAAGGTGCCATCGCTGTGATAGTTGTGAGCCGACGTAAGCTTGTTGCTACCTCTTTTCTTTTGTTTGTTATTTTCTTTGAATAAGAGGATTGAGAGTTTCTGAATATTGTGAAGTGAATTATGGAATGGAAATGTGATTGGTATTATTTGAGAAGAAGAAAGATTGAATGCTGAAATCTGATTGTAATTCAGCAGAGAGAATGAGTGTGTTTGTGTGAAACACCGTAATATGAATGGTAGTTCTGTAAGAAGAATTCCAGTGATTGGAATGAGGGTAATTGTGTGCTGAAAGTTGTGAGGGCACAATATTACAGTTGGAGATTATGAGGGTAAATATATTGGTGGAAATAGCAGTTATTGGTATGATTGAATTGCTGTAAAGAAGAGACCATTAAGGTGAAGGAGGAGATTATAGTTTCCTTGTATGTTCAGATATTGGAAATAGAGACGATACATTCAGGAGGTAATTGATTGTGTGACCCTAATGTGAACACTTAAGCAACTAATCATTGCCCGTGTTTGAATGCCACTATACGGATTTATTCCCATTAGATTAATTTGGAATAAGTAAAACGAGCAATCACAAGTAGTGTGGCTGTTATTTTGCGAAGAATTAAAAGGCCCTAAAATCTTCTCCAACAGAATGAAGAAACGCATGATATCAACAAACACCATTCCATCCCCAACCTAAGAAAATGTCTTGCACATGTTGACAACTAAGAACAAAAACGAGAGAAGTAAGAGCCAGAACAACCATCCATAAATCACATTCTAAATACAGCAAGAGAGTACTCACGAAGGACACCTAAGGGACAATCTAGAAATAAAAATTAGATACCCGACAAAAGCAGGTACAAGCTACAGCCAGTTTTAACCGAACAAAGTGCCCCGAGACGCCTGGAGCCGCCGGTCCGGGCCGGTATCAGTTGGTTGACTCATGACCGCGCCACACTGGCAAGTTCTGGAGGTGCACTACACGACAGAATCACTCCTCCCACGTGGCACAAAGAAAAATTGAGTGACGGTTACGAGGGGACGGGTTCTGTCCAAACGGCGCGGGAGGGGGTGCCTGTTCCTTATGAGCCAGGGCCCGGGTGGTTGGGTTGGCACCCGGCCCGGCTTGGCCAGTTCCTGCGGGGCAGGGATGGACCCGTGCCTCCCTCCGTCCCAGGCCACACGAGGCTTCGTTGCAGCACCACTTTCCCCGAGCTCGGAACACCAAATGCCATAGCCGTCCTGTCCCGCCTTCGTGCACGTTCATCGCCTTCCTCGTCGTTCCTTGCGCCCCTGCGGATGTGCCAGAGGCCCCGTCGTGTGTGGTTCGGTTGGAATCCTCGTGCATGCTCTTCGATTCGGTGCTGGAATCGTCTGACAAGCAGCGGGAAGTCGAGGTGTGTGCGCGTTGTGATTTGGCTTGAACAGTCGGAAGAGGGGCTTTGCGACCCGCGAGGGTTGGTGATCCGCGGTGTGGAGCTGTGTAGTTCGTTGATCGGCGCGGTCGTGGTGCTGTGGTTTGGCGTTGGTAATTAAACCCTAATCAAGAACGGAGACGACAGACGACTCCTGGGGAGTTGGCGATTTGGTCGTTTGGGCATTGGCGCGTCGCATCGCTCTTGAGAGGCCCTTGTGGGTACCTGTTTGTAGCGCTGGAGAGTGGGGTGGACACCTCATTGGTGGTAGTGGGGCGGAGACAGAGAGGAGTGGAGGGAGGTGTGGCGGAAGCTTGCGAAAGTCGACCTCCGACACGTGAATTTGCGGGGCCTTCGAGCACTCTCTGCATGTGTGCCTGTATTGCTTTGAGTCACCCTCGGCGCTCGTTTGAGGCTTCACAACTGGAAGGCAACAATTCGCAGCGTAGGCAACGCCATCTATGGCGTCCGCGGAACAACTCGAGACCGGAAGTGAATCTGGTGCGTTCTAGCCTGGACTGATTTCGGTATCGTAGGCGTGTGGTCGATCTGGCCTTGGAGGAATTCTGAGTGCATCCCCTCGTGAATCAGAAAAGAAGTCTGTGCAAACCATGTCGGCGGTGACGCCTAGCCGTGTAGAGCCATCTCTTGAAGAATTTCGCTGCACTTCCGGTTCTGGTGCGTTGGGTTCCGTGGACTTTGGGAACCGCACCTGAACCTGAAGCTTTGTGTACGTCGAATTGCAGCATTTGAGGTCGTCGTTGGGTATTTGGGTGAACGCGTGAGGAAATGTTGGGGCTTCTCACCCGCGATCTGGCTCAGGGCGCTTCACGTGGGGTTCTGATTTCGCATACTAGCTGCTCTGACAGAAGCCTCCGAACGAACTCCCGAGCCGTGTCACTCGATCTTTGGGCTGCCCTCTGTGATGGGATGTTCGTGCGGCCTGTTTCGACGCAGCATGTCTGCACCCCAGGCAGCGCAGAGCTGGGGGTGGAGGGGTGTTTGGTAGTTGTTTAGAGTGCGGAGTCCCTTCTTTTTGCGAGGTCGTGCGTGATGGCGCAGGAGTTGGCATGCTGGCTTAGCGACCGTGTGTGTGTTGTTCGGGCTTGCACCCTGAGTGGCGTCATTTAGTGAGGAATCCGGCCTTTCTTGTTGGTTTGATCCCCAGTTAGTGTGCGGTGTGCTGCACGTGACAATGTGGGAGCAACAGATCTGGATCATTGAAACGTGGAGGCGTAGTCGCATGCTGGTAGGGTTTAAGCCTTTTGCATGACTTCGGCTATGTGTTAGGGGTGTTTATGTTTGTTTGTTTTTTTATTTTACTTTTCCGCCACTGTGAGAGAAGGCGCTGCGGGTGACAGGGAATGTGTATTCTTGCGGACTAGTTTCAGCTGTTGGTCAGTGGAAGTCCGGCAATTGTTGGTGTCGGAGTGTATGAGCGGCGTGATGAATCCAAATCGGTTGGTGAAGGTAGCTGAAGTAGGGAGAGTATCGTCGAATCTTGTCGATCCTGGATGTGGGGAGGCTGTCGATCCTCGTCGCGGAGAAGACAAGCGGACATGGTTGCGAACGAAACAGTGTCACGGTTTCACGTGGTCTGTGAGGGTTAGCGCGTGGCGTTGGTTTTGCCCTGTGTGTGGGTCATGAAGTGCCGCTGGGGACTGCAGTTTTTAGCTTCCATTCTTGAGGATGCGGACACTGGAGGTTGACCGAATTTCTGATGCGCGACCCTTTTGAACGATCTCTATTTGCAGTGGCGTTGCATTCGTTATCGATGATAGGAGTTTTGATCCGGTGCGTGCCGAGCCCCGGCACCGCGTGTACTGTGGTGCTGACCTTTTGCCGTTTTCCTTTTGACGTGGCCTCAGGTAGTGGTGGGGTAAGGAGTACAAGCCCATGTTCGACTTGCTCTGTGATCGTAGTTGGCGCTGGATTTGGAGGCCTAGCTGCCGCCCGGTTTCTGCACAACTCGAACGTGAAGGTACGAGTGAGTGGAGTTGTCGGTTGCGTGGTTGTTGGGTCGGATTGAAGGGGATTCCTTCGGAGTTACCGTGAATGCTGGAGGGACAAGCGGTGGTTTTTCGTACCTTACGTGGTTTGGGATAGTGGGTGACATCGGTGCCAGTGTTCTGGTGTTGTGAAAGGCGGACCAAGTACAGAGAGCTGAGTGCATGCAGTCGTGGCAGCGCATAGACGAAGTACTTTAACGTGGAGGGACGTCTCACTCCCATTTGCCGTGTGTTTGGCAGGTTATGGTGTTGGAGTCTCGTGATCGGATTGGAGGTCGTGTATACACGGACTATTCCTTCGGATTCCCCGTCGACATGGGAGCTTCATGGTGATTGTTCAGTGTGGACAGTTTTGTGGCCCCAAAAATGTTCGTTGTGTGCGAGTTTTTGAAGGAGGCATGCATGTGGTTTGCTTCGTGTCGATCTCGACGGAGCGGCTGCGTGGATTTTACATTTTGAGCGGAGCTTGACTGATGCCAACGATGTTGTGGTTGTTGTGGGATGTAGGTTGCATGGAGTGTGCAAGGACAACCCTCTCGCGCCTGTGATTGGCAAGTTAGGGTTGCCGTTGTATCGAACGTGTGGTGACAACTCAGTGTTGTACGACCATGATCTAGAGAGGTAGGCACTTGGTTTTCGATGGTGCTTGCTGTGTGCAGAAGCCATGATCTCTGAGGAATGAGCCCCGGATGAGATTTTGTGCATGTGCGTGAGTGAGATTTGCAGCGGAGTGGTGTTCTTTTTTGACGAATGCATGGTTGTTTGGCAACTTGCAAGTGAATGCAAAGGCAGGTCGATAGTATGGGATTGTGGGCAGATAGGTAGAGGAAAGATCCGGTGGTTATTGCTTAGAAGTGTTTGGGGCCGGAGTTTGTGTGCGGAACAGCCTCATGGGTGAAGAAAAGTACGAGGTGTGAGGATGAGTGGTCGGGGTGGTTGTATGAATGCAAGGATCAGATATTTGTGGGTTTTAGCAGGTTTGTTGTACATGTAGCGTGTAAACATTTGCATTTTGTGATGGTCGGCCGTGGTGAACGGAGTCGTTCTCCTGGCGGGTGCGGGGGGTTGGGGGAGAACCATGGAGTTGGTATCCCACCCACTGGGCAGGGGAAGTTTCTTGCTCGGCGATTCGAGGTTCAGCTCGAGTGGCTTTGAGGGATATCCCGTGAGCTGGGCTTGGATGTCCGATCCGTGGTTTCTGGGTGCCGCGATTACTGAGCTAGTCGTCAGGTTTGGTGGGTTGTTTTGAGGGATTATGTAGAGGGCATGAAAGGGGCAGGTGGGTTGGTGACCGACCAACCACATTCTGTGCAAGAAGCGGGTCCGGTTAATGATACTTGGCCAAGTGTATACTCCAGAGGTGATGTCATGTCTCCACCCGTTGTGTTGTGTCCTATAGGGAGGGCCTTTCACCATGCCTCTTTTCCCTCGTCGAGTGCTGATAAAGCGCTGATGGGATTTGGTCATAGTAGGGGAAGTAGATGTAGGCGTAAGGAGGGGGGCGGGGGCGGGTCTGCGGCGACGTGTGCCACGGAATTTGTATGGGAGTGGGAGTGGGAGTGGGCAGGGTGGGTAGTATTGGGGGGTGTGTGTCTAGATGCAGTGATGGTTAGTGCTGGTGGCAGTGGTCTGAGCGTGGCGATGATTGCTGTGTTCAGTTATGCACTGTTTGACATGGATGGGAACCAAGTTCCACAAGCTTTGGTGACGGAGGTGGGCGAGGTGTTCGAGAGTTTGCTGGAAGAGGTGAGAGTGCTGTTTTTGTGATCGTCCACGCGATTGTAGTGCAGATGAAGTTGGTTTGTACAAGGCGGTGTTGGGGGCGGTGTTGGGGGCGGGAAGGCAGTTTCAGGGGCTTTGTATCGTATTAGCAGTTTTTTCATGCACGACATGGTCAACTCTTTCACTGACGTGGTGGTGGTGTTGATGCGACGCAGACAAAGAAACTGAGGGAGGAGCACCCGGATGACATGTCGGTAATGAAGGCGTTTACGTTGGTTTTGGAGAGACGTCCAGATCTGAGGTTGGTCAGACGTCTTGCGACACGGGGTTTCAGAGTTGTTGCAGTGACTTAACAGATTATGCAGACTGACAGGCAGCTGGTGTTGGGGATGTGCCGGGCGTGTGGATGGGGAACGTGGACGAGTTGTTGAGTGTGTGTGGCGGTGAGTTTGGTCTAATGGACGGATGCCGGGTGTTGCAGGCAAGAGGGAATGGCGTTCAAGGTTCTGCAGTGGTACATATGCCGCATGGAAGGCTGGTTTGCAGCGGATGCCGACAGTATTTCCGTTCAAAGTTGGGACGAGGTAATTATGCGTGGTGGTTTTGGCGGCAGTGTGGGACGATGGTTTGGTGCGGTCACTGGGCAGTGGATGCGCTTGAGTTGATTTTGTGGAAAGGCGCTGGCCATGCAGGTATGTTTGGGTTGTTGAGTAGGTTTTCTTGCGGGCGTGGCCGATGGAAGTGACGCAGGGTTTTGTTTCGCAGGAAGAGCTGCTTCAGGGTGGGCATGGACTGATGGTGAAGGGCTACAAGCCTGTGTTGAGCTCCCTTGCTGAAGGTCTAGATATTAGATTGAATCACAGGTAAGTGGCACGTTTGGTTCCAATGTGCACCTGAACGGATTTGGGGAACACGAAGAAGGGCAGGAGAGGCTATGCAAATGAGAGGGCCGTAATGTGAGTGACGGGGCCTGTGAATTGTTTCGTTGAGGGCTCGCGGTTGGAATGTGAAGTTGTCCCGCGAGAGGTTGACTGGTTGATGTTCGGAGCGATGTAGGAGATGGTCGCGAAACATAGTTGGTGGTTGAAGGGGTGTCTTAGAAATCTGTGTTTTGTGTTGTAGGATTACGAAGATCAGTCGGGGGTTGCATGGAGTGCGAATGAGCACCGACGATGGGAAGGTATTTGACGCTGATGCTTGTGTTGTAGCATTACCTCTGGGAGTGTTACAAGCGAACGTAGTGCGGTTTGAGCCTAAGTTGCCGGAGTGGAAGGAGGCAGCGATCAGTGATTTGGGGGTGGGCAACGAGAATAAGATTGCTCTGTTCTTTGAAGAAGTGTGCTGGCCTAACGTAGAGTTCCTGGGAGTTGTTGCGTCGACTTCATACGGTTGCAGCTACTTTTTGAACCTCCACAAAGCAACAGGGCATCCTGTGTTGGTGTACATGCCTGCAGGTAATAGGTCGATTCAGTGACTTGGTCGAGTGATAGAGGTGGGGAGGAGATGGATGGGTTGTTTTCGTGTGGTTACGAGTACGTGGAGATGTATGGATAGTTGCCGGTGAACCCAGTGGTGCCTTGAACTGGATGCAGGACGTCTGGCCAATGACATCGAGCAATTGTCGAACGTGGCTGCTGCGAACTTCGCCATCAGGCAGCTGAAAAGGATATTGCCGAATGCTGCAGAGCCGGTATGCGTCATGAGCCGTGGATGGTGCATAAGTATGTGGCGGGGGATGGAGTCTGTCTCGCTGTCTGTGCCTCGAATAGATGTGTGTGTCGGTCGTTGTGGGCGCTGGGTCGCAAGAGGCTGTGTGGGTTTATGAGTTATTAGTGGGCGTTGTATGGGGACATTACGATGGTTTGTGGAAGAAAGACGAAGGCGATGCAGTGTATGAGAGTTGGCGTGTGTTTTGTGGTGCAGATCAATTATCTGGTGTCGAGGTGGGGAACAGACCCGAACTCATTGGGGTGCTACAGCTATGACGCGGTTGGCAAGCCCCACGATCTGTACGAGCGGCTGCGTGCACCGGTGGACAGTTTGTTCTGGGCTGGGGAAGCGACAAGCGAGAGGTTTCCCGGAACTGTTCACGGCGCGTTTCATACGGGTGTGATGGCAGGAAGCGAGTGTCTGAAGAGGTTTGCTGAAAGGTGTCGGGATTTGGAGATGTTTCAGCCCGTGATGGCGAAAGAAGACGAGCTGACGACACCGCTGTTGATATCTCGGATGTGAACAAAGCGATGGCGACGTGGGACTTGGTGGGACTTGGTGGGTTGTCCAGGGAAATTGGGTGCAGGGACGGCACGGTGAGAAATGGTGGGATCCGGTGGACCTTGAAGCTTATTTCTTGACCACTGGAGTGGATTCTTAACCGAAGCGGAGGGAAGTGGAGTCACTAGCATTGCGTGTCTGGAGTTGTGGAGTGCGTGAAGGTGGGAAGGAGAGTGGGCGTTCATGGAGTTGAGAACACCGGCAGCGGGTGGGCTTCAAGCCCGGGGCGACAGTGCCTGGCGATGGAGGCGTGAGGTTTTTATGGCGTTGCGAGGGGTGATGGGTGATAGGTTGAATCCAGTTGCAAGGAAGGGACGACTGATTGTAGAGTGGACCTCTTTCGTTGTAGCACGGTTGATCACGTTCGACTTGAGTGGCGGAGTTCACATGAGAGTTTGGGGTGTATGCGTGCAACCCCTGCATATAACCCGCCAGCAGCGAGAACGAGCTGGGGTAAGGTGGGACGCTGGTTCTGGGTGCGAAGCGGTGTTTTTACTTTTTAATTGGCACAATGTTCGGTCGTTTTTTGGATTCCGGCTGGATAGTGGTTAGACATTCATGATTGCAGCACGTGAGAGCTTGGATAACGGAACGGGTGGCCTCATCACCGATTGGTTGTGTAGGTTTATTGGAATGCTTGGTTATGGGACGACTTAGAGAGGTTGCATGGCTTTTGTTTGGTTGAGAAAGATGTAGACGGTGGTATGGTTTAGGGAGTGTGCAATACAGGTCTATAATGACGTGATTGGATATGCGCCTCACACCGGAGGTGTAGTTGGACGCAATGGGTGGTGCTCAGTCATTTCTGGCCCCATTCGTGTGGTTATTGTTGAGTTGTGGGGAGAGGACACAGCGAAGTTTCAATCCGGCGCGACCCGGGAACTTTCGGACTGAACATATGACATGAATATGACCTGAATTCAGGTCAAACTGTTGCCAGTGTAGTGAATGTTGCGAGGCATTCACGCAGAGAGTGGTATGTGCATTTGTTGGCTTGCAGATTACGAATCATTTGACTACCGTCGATTTCCACAAAGCAGTCGCACACATCGGGTATGTAGTCAAGAGTGCTGACATTTCGTTGGCACAATTTGTGTGTCTTGACTATGTTTTGTGTGGTGTGCACTTGGGTCGTAATAGTGAATGTGAAAACAGAGGGAATTTTGAAGAGGGCATGGACCGGAAGCAGAAAACTGAATGCGAAATTGGATTGATTGCAGCAACTATAATCTTGTTAAAAGCAAAATGGTGAATGGGCATGGGAGGGATTGTAGTAAGGGCAACAACAATCGCACACAGAACGACAAAAAAGCAGGCAAGAGCACGGTCGAAAGAGGGTTAATTGGTGGTCGAAGGGTGAAAACATGACAAAATCTTCGTGAAGGATATTGCACAGTGGATTGTGTTGTACTTGTTCAGAGCAAATTCATACTTAACAGTTGCACTTTGGACGATGTTACGTTGAAAAGCGATTGGTGTCGGGGAAGAGGTAATATGCTTCTGAATGCACTACATCTGCTTTGTGAATTGTCAATTAAAACATGAAATTGGGGAATTAATTTGATGACCTTGGAAGCCTGATTTGGTAATGTTTTAACATGCATTCCAAAAAATTCAGATTGACTATGCTGTGATAATTTTATCGATGTTTATATGTGTTGAGAGCTTGCTTTCTCCATAATATCTATTGTAGACTACAGTATATATTGTAGCTATAGTATTTAGAGTCTAGTGGAGAAGAACTGTTTATTCTCCCCTTTTTCTTCTTGTATACGAGACACAACCAGATCAATAGATTTTTATGTGTGAAGCTCTCTCTCTTTAGAAACCTTCTTGTGTATATGACTTACTACTATTGTGTGTATTATTTACTACTACTCTTGTGTCTTTCTAAACATTCTCAACATGTTATCAGTACGACTTTCTTCTACACACCATTATAATTTTTTTGCTCTAGCCTTGACTCTTCACACTTGTTGCTATTCTTACTCAGTGTTTGCTTCATGATCTTGTTGCTCTTCTTGTTGGCCCCTCATACATTAGCTGTTGCTAAGAGCACTTGTTCCACTTTCTACCTTACTTGTTTAGAATACTTGCTCTATCCTAGCTTCCCTATTACGCCTCGCGCCTGCCATCAAATTGTCGCCAAATTGACCGTCGTCACCGTTGCTGTCCGCCTTATCGTCGCTGTCCGCCCGCCGCTCTCACCCTACTGTTGCTGTCGTTGCCCTATTACTGCTTTGCTGCCACAATCCACAAAAAAAATAAAAAATAAAAATAAAATTTAATATTTTTGTTTTTGAAGTTGAAGTTTATTATTTTATTTGACTTTAAATTTTAAGGTACATCTTACTCAACTTTTCTACTTGATCTTGTATTTTCTTTACAGATTTATTTATAATGAGTGCATCAACATCTTCAATTGCTTCTACTATGGTTCCAACTATTACCAGTGCATCCCAACATTTTCAAGCTCTTTTATTTCTACCATTGACTATGGATGGAAACAATTATCTATTATGGGCAAAAATAGCAAAAACAAATTTATTTACAAAACAATTCTCGGATGCCATTATGTTTGAAGAATCTCCTACAATAAGTATTTCTATTCTTCCTGCTATTCATTGGAAAGCACTTCTTTTTCTTTGTCGTCATCTTGTACCTACATTACAACATCAATATTTGAAAATGGAAGATCCTGCAAAACTTTGGAAGAATCTTAAATCCAAGTTTGATCATCAAAAGACTATTTTCCTTCCACGCCCATGTCATAATTGGACACATTTACGTGTTTTGGATTTTCTAAATTTAAATGCTTTCAATAGTGAAATATATAGTATTGTCTCACAATTACGATTATGAGAACAAAGCATCTCTGAAGAAGAAATGATTGAGAAAACTCTCTCTATATTTCATCCTATATTTGTTAAACTTGCGCAATAATATAGGAACATGAAATTTCAGAGTCATTCTGATCTCATGTCCTATCTATTTTTTGCAGAGAAACAAAATAAATTATTCTTGTGCAATGCGGAAGCTTGTCTTATTGGAACCACAGTTCTAGAATCTCATGCATTTAATATTTCAAAGTCTAAGAAAAAATTATATAAACATGGAAAACGTGCTCATAAGTATCAAAGTAGTCATAGTCATGACTATTTCTACCCATATGGAAAGAATAAACGTTCTACTATTAATTATAATAGAAAAAAAATCAGAGATGCATTCTTGCTATAAGTATGGAATGATTGGACATTTAGCATATACATGCCGTACTTCAAAATATTTTATTAAAATGTTCTAAGAAAATAAGAAACTACGAGCTGAAGGTCATGAAGTTCATACTATGGATGCGTCGATGAATTCAATTAGTGTTGATGACTTAGAGGCTTATATGAATGACAAAACCTCTAATGATGAATCAAATGATGTGTTCATTGATTCTGCAACAACACATACTATCTTGCGAGATGGGCGATTTTTTATTAAAAAATCTTCAATTTGGCAAACTAAAAATATAATGACCATGGCTGGAACAAATGCATTTTGTTTCCAAGAAGGCACATTGATGGTAAAATTACCTACGGGTTCCATCATAAAATGTAAACATGCGATGTTTGTACCTTCAACACCTTGAAATCTGATCAGCTACCAAGATATGCGTATTAATGGTTATCACTTCTCGATCACCATTTTAAATAGAAAAGAGGTTTTGATTCTTTCGAAGAACCATAAAGTTGTTGAAAAAGCTTTTGCTATAGAAAATGATTTATACGGAATTCAATTTGGCAACCCATTATATTTAATTTTGTATCATTTATCACAGAGAGTCATATTTCTCTTTGGCATGGACAATTGGGACATCCAGGATCTACATTATTTAGAAAAATCATTCCATATATAACTGGGCATAATTTAAAGCCTACAGATGTAGACTCTATAGAATTATGTCGTACATGCGTACAAAGTAAGATGATTACTCGGCCTTCAATTTGGAAACTTCTACAAGAATTACTATCAATGCTTAAAAGATTGCATGGTGATATTTGTGGTCTTATTAATCCAATATTGAGACCATTTCGTTATTTTTTGGTCTTTGTTGATGCATCAAGTAAACAATGACATATTTCATTATTATCAACTCAAAACATGGTGTTTGTCAATCTTATATCTATGCTTATTCATTTTCGGGCATATTTTCCTCATTATCCTATAAAAACATTGCGCATGGATAATGCAAAAGAATTTGCATCAAAGTCTTTTGAAGACTATTGTACTGCAATAGGAATTGAGTTGACATATTGTGTTCTATATGAACATGCTCAAAATGGACTTGCAGAGTCATTTATAAAGCATATACAACTCATTATCCGGCCACTCCTCCTTCATGCACATTTACCTGCATCTATGTGGATTCATGCAGTTTTACATGCTGCAATATTAATATGCTGTCATATGGCATGATTTGCTATCTAAAAATACACTGGATATCTAGCTGTAGAGAGTGTAGCTTAAACCTTTATATGATTCTTGTCTTAGCTTCCAAAACTCCTTTATTTTTGTATAAAACTCCAAATATAACAAAATCCCTTCAAAACATATTTTTCCCGAGAAGGATTTTCTTATCTCCGAATTTTAGAAAATCATAACTATTGGTCTATCCATTCAATTCATCTCAAATTTACAAGATAGGTAGAATTGACCCTTAACTTTTATCACAAAAAAAACCAACTACAAATTCACTCCCGATCTTTTGGCATCTAAGAAATCCTAGTAGGAACTTTAAACCCTAATTTATAAGCACCCAAAAAATTATTTTTCTTATATCTCAAAAATCCAAACTCCAAAAGTAGATTTAGCTTCTGATATCATCCAAGAAGGAGATATTCTTTTTTAGAACGAAATCATAAAGAACCTTATTTATCCCATTCATCATGTAAGCTACTGAGTTTGTTGCTCCTTGTGGCAATGTACACGTCTTAACCAACCCTAAAGGTGTCCTCATAGTAGTAACATCTTTGCTTCCTTCAACTAGTTGAAATTGATCATATCCAGAATAAAGATCTCCAATAGAGTAAATAGCTCTACCAACAAATGCCTCAATAAATTCTCTAATAATTGGTCCAACTCCAATAATTCTAATAGTTACTTAATTCACTGGTTGCATATCTTGAATGAATCGTAGTGTTCTATTTTTTTTTTGGTACTGTAAATCAACGGTTGGAATATAGTACAAATGATGGCTCTAGGATCTTCATTTGCATCTTTTCTTTTAAAAGCTCCATAAGTTTAGGTAGATGTGCTTTAGGCACCGAAATTGGTCTTAAATCCCAAAGAACATGCGGAACTGTAAATATAATCATTGGTGCCACAACACTTGGATCGACACATCCAATTTCTGAAGGTTCAAAAGAAAAAGCCTTTCCATGCATACTTAATATATTTCTAAATTCCATTTCTTCAATTGGTAATAGAAAATTTACAGATCCTATTTTCAACTCATTGAGTGTTTTCTTAGTAAACTTGTGGCGAATTTGTTTAGAATCCCGTAAGCCCTTCTCTTTCAAAGCTTGTTGAACTTAATGATTGGAATCACTAGGTAATGGTATAGCTACAGGTTTTATTTTCCTCTCCACAGTCTTGTACCTAGTTTCAACTTTGACTTCATAATCTTGAAATGCTTGTATAGCTGAGTAGAGGTCTCTTGAATATACTTGCATCACTTGATCTTCATTTCTTTGTTCAACCTCTAAAAGTTCTTCCATAAAATCTTCTAAACCAGTCTCCATATATACACCTACTATCTTATCATCTCCATTAAGCACACCCACTCTTTTTAGGTCTTTTTCACATTTTTGCACAATTTTTTTTTTCCGATTTTGATAGATCATTAAATTGTGTATAGATAGCAAATCTATTCTTAGATAATTCTACAACACCTGTATAAAAGGTACTTTCTTTTTCATGCGAGAGTATCTTCTTTGATATACCACTACATTTCCACTCTATAGTGGTACCCTACAAAAATCCGTAAATTCTTCACTAACCCTTGGTAATAAATTACTTCTTAAATAATCCCGATTGCATTCATGGTTTGCAGGTACTGTTAGAAATTGCACTGCCCTTTTTCCATCTTAACTTCTAATACGGACACATGCTGATCCATCATCCAAAACTTTGGTCTCCATCCTCACAGCTGTAATATATAGTTGACCAAGAATCACTGGGTATGAAGTAGTGTCTTGAACAAAAAAATTTTGTTCTATGGTCACATCTCCAACCTTTACCTTCACATTGGAGCAAACACCATAAAAATCTCCTCGTGTATTATTTGCTGTCCGAATCATCCATCCATGGATAATATCAATGGGCCACCTTCCACGTTTATAGACTTATTTTGACATAATATTAATTTCAGATCCATGGTCAATGAGAGCAATTACTGGTTCTTCCAAGACTTCCATTTTTACTAAAATCTCCATGGTGGCTCTTGCTCAATGTCCCTTGGTATAGTGTCCAGGGCCTTTGTCATCATCCTTGTATTCATCCAAATCAAATTGTCCC